GTACAGCGCCTTAATGAGGTTCAAGAATTTATGGGGGACGCCTTTGCTCCACAGACACTGCCATAGTGCTTGGCGGTCCACAGAGTCAAAGGCAGCTTTTAAATCAAGGAAAACGACCACTGTTGGTTGCTGGAAGCAGTGTCGCTGTTCCAGAATCTGCCGCAGGGCGAAGATATGGTCGATGCAACCTCTTGCAGGACGGAACCCAGCTTGGTTTTCACGGATCTGCCTCTCCCTGCGTTCAGCCAATCTTCGAAGAATAAGGCCAGAGAGCACCTTTGATGCCACAGCTAACAGGCTGATGCCACGGCGGTTTTCGTATAGCGTACGTGTACCCTTTTTGAAGGAACGGATAACTGTCGACATGCCCCATTCTGCAGGCACTTTTTCTTCGTTCAACGTAGTGCCAATAAGCTCTGTCAGATGAGTCACCAGGGAATTTCCGCCTTCTTTGAAGAGGGCTGCATACAGACCGTCTGGTCCTGGTGTCTTCTCACGTTTCAGTGTGGCTATTTAATACCTTATTTCTTCTTCCGAAGGGCGATCAACGTTTACATTCCATTAGCACCTATGCACTATCTCCACCGGCTGTGCTGCATGAGGCCAGCTGAACTGCTCTTCGAAGTGTTCGGCCCATCTCTCCAGTCGACGTTGTTGCGAGTGATTTAATGAGCCATCTTTCTCACTTATTGTTTTGCTGACCGTTGCTTTCCTAGGGCCAGTCGATCGTATCAGTTAATAATGAGCATGGCTGTTTCCCGCAGGAAAGGCCTCTCCATCTCCCGAGCTTTCGATGTCCACCAGAGCTCTCGGTCTTTCCTTGGACTCTTCACTTTTTGGCGTTTGAGGGATTTGCGTGCGCCGTCGTACTCGTTGCCTGCTGGTATGGCTTTCCTGGCATCAGTCATGCATAACGACCTTGACGATATCCAGTGGTCTTGTGGTCGAATTGGGGTAGTCAGGCAGTCAGCACTGAACGCCGCTAGTAAAGCTCCTTTCACAGTTTGCCACGCTTCATCCACATGCTCACTGCCACCACAGTGTTGGTTTACTCTGGAAAGTCGTTGGGCTAGCTGAGATCGATACTGTTGAGCTATGGCAGTTCTTCGAAGCTCGTGGATTGGCATGCTTCTTGCAGACTTGCGAGGGCCTGAAGGGAAACCAATTGTCAGGCGTGCGCGCACCATGGCGTGATCGGAATCAAGTGGTGTGCCCCAGAAGGAACGGTAGTCTTGAATTGTGGTTCTCCAACAGTTGCTGATGGCCGCGTGGTCCAAATGGGTCCACGGTTGGTTTGTAGTTGGCGGTCGCCAGGTAACACGGTGCGAACGTTTGTGTTGAAACTTCGTACTTGCCAGAAACAGTTCGTGATCAGCACACAACTGAAGGAGTCGATCTCCGTTGTCTGTGCGGCGAGCATCGACTCCAAACCGACCGCCCAAATGTGATTCCACGGAGCTCAGACCACCTACCTGAGCATTCAAATCGCCTGCAAGGTTCACAATGCCAGTGCTTTTTGCCTGACGAATGAGCCCGGGTAGCCCTCGATAGAAAGTATCCTTCTCCGCATCAGAACTGCAGTCCGTTGGGGCATAAGCCGACAGGACAAACAGGCACCACTTTTCATGCCGCGAGGCATTGAGCTTGATCGAACTGGATAACCGGACGGCGCAGAGACGACTGTTCACTAGAATCCAATCCAGCAAAGCGCGTTCAGGTCTGGAGCTGAGTGCAACTCCCGCGCCATGTATTCTGCGACTCATCGCTTCTGGGTCACCAGACACGCGGAGGGAAAGTGTTGGGTTCATCTTTGGCGTTCTGAGATGCAGAACCACGCTCAGGACTTGTATGCCAATTTGACATAGAGTATGGACGATAAAAGCTCTTATATAGAAAGGATCTCGTGGATTTAGAAAGCTGTTTTTTTGTGTAATGTTTGTAGGTAGCTAGGAGCATAAAGCCCTTTGGTCAGATGACTGACAGCCAAATGGCACAGCGATACTTGCTTGTGCAGTGGGAAGGGGTTGGGAGGGACATCGGTGGACGCTAAACTGCGTGGGAAAATGGTACTTCCCGGTTGCTCAGGACGAGGAAGGGGGTTTGGTTGAGGTACCCCACATTGAGGCTTTGACTCAAAAGCGTGACCCACAGGGCAGTGGAGTAATGTGAGGATTTGTTCGGGGACCCAGACCCTATCCTCTGACTCAAAAGTCTGACCCACGAGGCAGTGGGAAAATGTGGGGTTTTCATTAGGGTGCCCACCCGGAGCCGACGCTACAACAGTCTGACCTGCTCGGCTACAGGGTGTTGGCCTAAAACACGGGCGCGCTGAATACGGCCACCAAAATTCCCGAAGTCTACTTGAACTGATCAATATGCTTCCTTCCAGGCTTGGTGCATGAAAAACATGCACGCGAGTGAAGTGGATCGCTCATGTTGTTGTTTGCTTGCTCTTCTAATTTTCTAGTTGTACATGTTCATTTTCGTGTTAAGAACGTCCCAGTTGGCCGATCTGGCCTATACCATTCTCTCAGCCAGGCGGGTAGATGAGCTGAATCAGAGCAGTGCAATGCTAATTGCAATTGGCCGATCTCTCAAAACATTCATGCCTCTTCATATATGTGCTAATGAACGGGCGGGCAGTTGCACGTAGTGTACAATAGCATTCACACTCATCGGTTGATGGTACGGCTGAAATGGGCCAGAGAGTTACAATTGGTCAATGTCACGTTTGAATGTGCACAGACTAATTATGGCACACTAGATTGTTTCAAGCGAAATTTAGCCGATGCGCTTGTGTGTGCCTGTGTGTAGTTGG